CGGCCAGTGAAGTGCTCGCACTGTGGGGTGTCTGGCAGCGGCTGCCTGCTGCCTGGCAGAGGAGCGGGGAGGGCATCCAGGGCGCTCTCGTTACACAGGGGAGCTGCTGCTTGTCCCTCTGGCAAACTGCAAGCAGCTGGATTTGGCTCTTCTGCTGAATGGTCCATATTGCAAAGCTGCTCAGGCAACGGCAAAACCCCCCCAGCTGGCAGATCTACAGAAGAGGTGACGGTGCTCGAGCCTGGAGGACTTGGCACGTTCTGGAGAGAAGAGTCTAAGGAGCTGGCTGGGGTGGGAAGGGAGAGGGCTTGGCTGGGTGACTCGTGCTCGCCTAGGGCATGGCCGTGCCCGACGACAGGCAGCCCCACGGAGCAGCCCTCGACTGGCGAGGCCGGTGGCCGCGCGGCTGCAGGGCCAGCAGCTCCGCTCCCGTGGCCTGCAGGGGCGGGCGGGCTGTTCCGCTCCTCCCCCGGACACCTCCCAGACGTAGCGCCTGGGCTCCCAGGCGGGAGAAGGTCCCTGCTCACACAGGCAACATCTCCGCTCGTCGGGAAGCTCTGCATCTCACTCGCCTCCTGAGGAGGGGGCTGCTGTGCTGGGATCTCACGGGCAGCTTTCTCGGGTGATGCCACCTGATCATCCTCTAGAGGCTCTTCCTTGTCTGGGCTCTTTGGTGGGCACAGGGGGCCGTCCACCGTGGTGGCTGGTTGGCTGCGCTGCAGAACAGGAGTCCTCCCCGTCACCGCCGCGCTTGTGTCAGCGGCTGGTTCTCCCGGGGCCCCAGGGGCTCTCCCGGGGGGGGGTGTGCTCCCTCCCTGTCCGCAGGGCGCTCGCCCACGACGCCGTTCTGGCCGGTGGCCTTCACTGCCACGCAGCTGAGCGAGAGCTCCAGGCCCAGCGGTTTCCGTGGGAATTCCTCAGCCTTTGCTACATGCGAGGGAGGGGGAAACAGAGGAAAAGCAAGCTAAAAAACACCAGACCGCACATTACTTCCCTTTGCACCAAGCGCTTTACCCAGGAGGCCCTGTCCTGGCCCCAGGGAAAGATCCAGGTGGCCCCCAGCCCTTGGCAGCAGCACGAGGCAGCTCTGCAAGTCTGGGAGCCCCGGAAGACTCCAGCACTGGTGTCCTGTCCTGTCCATTTCCCTCGCCCACTGCTTGGCAGGTCCCGGATGTTTCCCTCTGCTGCTTTTCTGTGAATTTCTAGTGCCAGGAGAAGAACCCATGGGGGCTGCATGACCTGAGGGCAGCCAAGTGCTGCTGAGGGAGCTGGGCCTCAACCTGTATTTAAGGAAACTGAAGCTGTTGAGCTGGTGGTCACCCACTCTAGCCTGGCTGACACTGAAGCAGTCTCACACATGCAGTGTGGGCCTGGTCCTAACACCTTTCCACTCGATGGGTGATCAGGAAACAAAATGCAACAGAAACTCAGGGGACAAAGAATTCACAAGGCCTTGCTCATTAAAAATACTACCCCCTACCCTGCCAGCAGGACTTTTTTTTTTACCGAGTTATTTCCTCCTTTGTGCTCTACTCACCTAGTTACTAGTAACCTGAGAAGGCAAGAGTGAGCCTAGCATGGTCTAACCCAGTTTGAGGCACTTTGGCTTTCTGCCCTTACGAGGACAGACCTCCGAGCTGCAAGGCAGGACAGAGAGCTGGCAAAGGAGGGACACCACAACACACAGTGACCCCCACGAAGTGGCAGAGGCACCAGCGCCCTGGGGCAGCGGTGTGGCCACATCCTGCAGGGTGCCCATTGCTGCTGCACCGGGTGCAGACCCTGCTGCTCTGCTCTGCGTACCTGGCGGCGGGAGGTCGAACTTCATCTTGCGCAGTTCGCTCATGGACACCTGCAGCTGCTCAATCACAGCGTCATCCTCGTACTGCAGGGAAGCAGCAGTCTTCTCCTGCAGGAACTCCCGGAGATCTTCCAGAGACATCTTCAACAAGCGCTCTAGGCAGAAAACACCACGAAGTCAGCAGGGCGGCACGGCCGGGTCGCCGTCACGGGGGTTTTCCAGCACGAGAGCAGGCAGCAGGGCAGAGCGCCGTCTGCCAAGTCAGGGGCTCTGCTGCTCTGGGCACGTCAGTGCTCCCGGCTGTGAAAGTCTGGGCACGTTTGCATCAACCCCGCTTTTCCTTCGGGGTTGCCTGTCTCAGGCCTTGCTCTCACCCACACTTATGCACCCCCACCAGGAAAGTCCTCTGAGCAGCTCCTAGCAAGAGCGAGGGGACAACGTGGCTGCTGGTGGGAGTCTGTAGGTCACGGCCTGGCACCACTAGCATGCAGGTTATTGGGAGAAGTTCTCGCTGGTACCTCTAGGAGGAGGAAAAGCTCCATGTGACAGACCCCAAGTGACAGGCAAACAAGTCGGTGTCTGCTGCTCTCCTGTCTCAGGGCTAGGATGTCCTGATGTGCCAGGGCTGCAGAGCCGCCTTGCGGCCTGGGGCAGGTGGCAAGAAAGCAGCTTCCCACTTTCTCGTGAGGCGGCCTGGCTCACCTCGAAGGCACACGCATCTCAAGACAGGAATGGCACCACCTTACGTTATGTAAGGAAAAAATGTTTGGGGCATTTCAGAAGTATTTTAAAGATGTATTAATGATTTTATTTCTTCCTCCACAACCTTTTGAGGAGCCCTCGGCTTAGTTGGATTGTCCAATTAAAGCCACAGGCAGCTTTCTGGAGCAATGCCAAGTTTCCATCCCTTTTGCCCTTCCTGACAAACAAGGCACCATCTACATGGGCACCTCTGAAGCGGCGCCGTCACGGGCGCAGCGGGTCCCCAGAGCCTCCAGTGTCCGGGCAGCGGTGAGGGTGACGGTGCAGCGAGTAAGAGGAGCTACCTAAACACACAGTGCGGCCCGTGGATGGCAGCGCAGACCTGGGCTAGCGCCAAAGTGCCCCTCTTGCGCTGTGGGGCTACGCAGCAGCTCATCCTTTCGGAGCACGGCCTGACTAGGGGAGTGGGGGGTCCCCACAGCCAAATTGCCACCGCTCGCATGCGCGTGCCAGGCTACGCGACGGGGCAACCACAGCCCCACGGCGTCAGCTCTGCGGCGTGGGGCAAGCGGGGAGTTCTGCGGGCATCTTACTTTTGTGCAGCTTGAGTATTGTGTAAGCCATGGCCGTCAGGACCCGCTCTCCTTCCAGGATGTAGATGTCCCAGAGCCGCAAAGTGAGAGTGAAGGGCGTCTGCATCGAACAAACAAGCCCAGCTCGTCAGGCAACTCAGAGACCTCTTCCCAGCGTGACTCTAGTTGCACTGACTTGTGCGCTGACACACGCAGAGGTTAGTGGCATAAATTTGCCCATTTGCACTGAAACACCCAGCAGAGCAAGGCACTTGCTGTCCAGGATTCATTAGAATCAGTATCCAAAATTCCAGAGCAACCCATTTTCCAGGGAGGTCCGTGAAGATTTCGGCAGCTCCCAAAACCAGAAGTTATTCCTGATCCTCCTGTGACATTTAGGTTCAAATTTAGGATGCTCAGCTTCTCCAGAGTCTGGCACAACTGCCCATGACAGCTCATTTACTGTAGATTACAGCCGTTTTAAGGGGTTTGCATTTTATACAGCTTCTGCTCAAGGAACACAAAGCTCTGTACAAATGCAATCAATTCCCTCCTGAAGCAAGAGCTTATCCTCTGTTTTACAAGAGATAGGGAAGAGACTGTGGACACACAGATGTAATAGATGTTACCAAATCCAGATCTTTGTGCGAGCACAAGGCTTCCCCTAAAAATACGGGAGCATTGGCTCAGCATTACCAAATTACCTCTGGACAAATCAGCATAATTTTCTCATGCTTTCCCGTGTCTCCAGTGCACAGGCTGCTCATTTGTGCGCAACTGCTGTAGTGCAATTTGTTCAGGTTTCTGCCTCAAGCTGCTCTTCTCCATTCATGTTTCCAGAGCCAAAGTGAGGTTAATTGCCTCTGCAAGCTTGCAGCAGTGCCAGTGGGCAAGAGAAAAATCTCTTTCGATTCAGAAGATTAGACCTTTGCTCCAAATCCCCCTCACAGCTATTATTTATAGTGCACAGTCAAAGTTTGCTTGTCATCAGCCTTGAGTGGTGTGCAGTTATTTTTAGCTTCTCCCTTGTTAAAAATTTCTGTTAAAATTTCTGCCTTATGAAAATGTGCCTAGTATCCCACCTCAAATATTAGTACCTTCTTGAAATTAAGATTCTATCTCAAAATTCAGCAGTAATATAAGCAGAATTCACCGCGCGCACAGGGGGCAGAGCAGAAAATACCCGACAAACAGTGCTCACCCGGTCGATGAAACACTGTAGGAACCATTTGGTCGTGTAAATCCCTGTAGTCATCTGTTCCTTGTCCTAGGAGGAGACAGCAGAGACATGTGTTTTACCAGACAGGCTGCTGGAGGGGTTTTGGCAGGGTTGGTTGGTTTATTAATGCTGGATTCTGGGTCTGGAGGCTCTTTTCGGCTCCCTGCATCCCTGCATCTAATCCCAGCATGGTGCCTGCTTTAAACAAGAACCCTGAAGTGTCAGTTTGGCCCTTTACCCAAGACAGTCGCTGGACCTAGTCTTCACTGTGGTCATGGCTGGAGCCTGATTTCAGCTGCTCCAGACCTTCAGAGAGGAATTTCTGTCAAAACAGTTTACTGGGCTAACTTCTACTCCAGGAATTTGCAAAAACCTTCCAGGAGCCAAAACCCACCTTCTCCTTAGCAATCAATGTTTCTGTTTCCATAGCAATCCCCACTGAAGCCTCCCGGAGTGCCACAAAAATAATTGACAACTAAGCAGCCCACACATTAACCTGCACCCATAGCACAAGGCCCATCCTGTTCGCGCTGCCTCGTTCACGCGTGCGCCGGCTCCGCCGGCACAACCACCCGGTTAAGCGGCAAGTGCCGGCTGGGATGGCTACAGAGAGCAGGGCCAGCACAGTGCAGACCTGTCCCCCTCCCGCACCCCGTGAAAGGGAAGAGGTGCCTGATTTTGCAGGGAGCACATGCCGCTCTCGGCGGGGGAAACGCACGTGCTGCTACCTGCTGACTCCTAGAGTCCCTTAATGAAGGTATTTTTTTTCTAGTTGCTTGGGTTTGAGTTATTCCCTCCTCCCTTCCTCCCTCAAGTGGCTATAATTAAGTAAGAACCTGTCCTGTGGCTCTGTTCTGCTTACACAGCCCAGGCTGGCTCCTTTGCAGCATGAGGCAGGAGCTGCCCGGAGTCCCTCAGGAGCACAAGAAACCTTCACAGAGTCTGGCTCTCAACACCAAATGACTAAAGCAAATGCAAGGTGGGGAAGAGGGGAAAAAAAAAGAGGGGAGCAGGGAGCAGGTGTTGCAAAATAGCTGCCTAGCTGTTGGTCTGCAGCTGATGCTCCCACAGCTGCTCTTCCAGCTGACAAACGGGCTCCTGCCACGTGCCCAGGAGAACAACTGGACGCGCGGAGCCCGCAGAGCCAGGCGACAGCCCGTCACGTCTCACGCTCCTGCCTCCCTGCGCAGGGACTCTGCCGCCGGCCTCACAGCACAGCGGGCCGGGGCGACGGAAGCGCAAACAAAGGCTAGCAGCTATCCAGGAAAGACCGGAGATGCTCCAGCATCACCCTTCAGGTTTCATGACCAGGCTAATAATGTAGCAAGCCTCCCCTGCTGAATGAAATAGTTCCTTCTGCCTGCAGTCTATAAGTTTTCCTGCCTGGCTGTCCTTAAGGAAGCCTCTGGACATTTCTACATCAATGTGCGTATCAAGCACCAAACAAATGACAGCCATTCACCTCCACAACATTCACAGATGAGCCACTTAGTACATATTTGCCTCTCCGTGGTTGAAATGGTTGCACATGACTAGAAGTGGGCTTGGCAGAACATTACACTGATTGCTTTAACATTAGAATGTGACATTAGTGTGAAAGACTGATAGCAAGGCATTACCATGTGCTTCTTCAACTTTGGGAACAGTTTGCTTAAAATCTGCTCGTGATGAGCTTGAAATCTCTGCAGCTTTGGGAACCCAGGAATGAAAAAACCTTAAAAAGAAAAAACACAGAAGAAAACAATGAGAAAACCAGTCAGAGGGGCAGCTTGATTTTTAAGCAAGATCATTGCCTGCATTGCCTATTGAAGTTGGGGGACCTTGCAGGGAAAGAATATCTTGCAACTCTTCCGTTTTCATTCTTTTATTTGGGCTACATCAAACACCTGCATAAACCACCCCATTGCACCCAAACTGAAGCATCTAAACCTGCCCCTGCAGAGGAGACAGACCTGCACTTTCTATCATTTCCGATCCTGCCCAGTTGAGACTAGACTTGGTGCTCGCTGTTAAGACCTCACTTGAGCTGGGTCAGGCACTCTCCTTACTTGGCAACATGTTACCACCTCACATCTCAACCAGGTTGGACTGTCACATCCAAATATCCCATCGTGTTCCCCCCAAAAGTAGTGCTTTAGCAGTGAGTAGGAAGTAAGAACTGGGCAAGCTGGATCAGAGTTTCACCACAGAGGCCATCTTAAAATGGCAGATTATAAAGCCTCACCCTCCATTTATAAAATAATCTGTGTGCACAGATTGCTTTGAACCACAAATAAGAGGAAAGGACCTTTAATGTGGTTAAAGTAAAATACTACATCATATTTTGTAGCCATACAACTTAATAAACATAATAGAGAATGTAGCTCATGGCGTGTTTAAAACAGAGCATTACATGGTGCTCTTGGATATACTTCTGTTAGACTTCTCAAAAACTCATAACCCTGAATTAATTGAATGCCAAGAGCAAGGCACTCCGAAGGAAAGGTATCACCTCAGTAGAAGTGTTAATTACTAAGCATTAAAGTTCAGCAAAGATGAAGCACATTTCTCTCTGATGCTCCTGTCAGCCTCCAAGAGGGAGATTCAGCTCCGTACGTAGCTTGCTTTGGCATGTAATTAAACCTCACCTGCTTTAAAGCAGCACGTAGCAGCCATTGGGAAAACAAGGCTCCGCTGACCAAACAGAGAGTAACCTGCAGCCTTCCCTCAGCAAACCCGTGGGCAGCAGCCTGCCCTGCCCGCGCCCAGCCCTTACCATGCATCGCGTGCCGCTGGTTGGTTAGCAGCTGTGCCAGTGCCCAGAACGCATCCTCTTCATTCAAATACATCAGCAGGATGGCTGCAATCTGACTCATCCCTTGGCAGTAGCTCACTTCCTGCAAGAACCAAGAGGGGCACATGTGCTCACACGCCGCGCTCCTTCGCGCCGTGGCAGCCAGCTAAGCCTGCTCCGGGCCAGGTTTCAAGACCCTTGCAATGTAGTTGCTTGCAAAAGACACGCGTGGGTCGTGCGGAAGGCCCCAGGGAGGAAGCAGCAGAATTCCCCGGGCCCTCTGCAGAGTCAGTGCTGCTGCTCAATTGCTCTGCCAGAGCTGCCAGAGGCAGTTTAAGCTGCCTGCGCCTTCCTGTCCTGTTTCAAGGCGTCACTTATTTATTTATTTACTATCCCCAAATTTAGAGCTCCCATGGGGTAAGTATACTATGTTCTACAGTGCCCCAGTTGCAAAGCTTTAAAATCTCTGGGCAACTTCATAGGATGGGTAAAACCACCACAGGAACTTCTCCCTCTTCTTCCCAGTCTAAGGGGGGCACTTTTTTTCTGCTGACCTCAGTGGGAGTCGAGACCTTACCAGGGCCTCTGAAAAACCTGCCCGAATTTGCATCATTGGTTGAACAGCACCTTTGAAATGTTCATACCAGACTTTAAAGGTGTCAGACCCCGGGGACGGCTTGTTGCACGCACTGGGTGGCTTTACACCAGCCCAGAGCACCCGGATCCCATCCCTGCTTGGACTTTCAGCCATAACAGCTCAACTGGGAGCCTGGACCTGGCTGCAGAGCTCTGCTTTGCATCTCGAGGGTCCCAGCCCGCCCCTGGCAAGCTGCCTGCACTGGGTGATTCCCACCGTGGGGCACCTCTGACCCAGCCCCACCAGCACAGCTTCAACCTGCAGGGTGAGGTGAAATACATGCAAATCTCAGCTACAAAAAGCCAATTCCCAAGTAGTGCCCGCAGCCATTTCAAGGAAAACTGGTTGGGATGATAAACGGCATGTGGCTCTGACGCTATTTTAGACTCTCTTAGCCATGCAAGCAGTGAAGTAATTAAAAAAATAATAATCTGGTAAGCCTTTGTGTCTGAGGCAAGAAGAAAGGAAGGATCTGTCTCTTTGGCTGCCATGTGGTGCAGTCTGCGCCTCCTGGGCTAACTGTCCCCTTCCGGCAGGATCTGCAGCTAATTTAAGCCTATTCTGCCTGTGTCCCTGGCTAAAAATGACTTGTTCACTGCAACAAATCAGTGTTTTCAGCAACGAGATGCTATTCAAAACAGGACGTATAGACAAGTTCTTTGACTAGGAGGCTGGCCTGTCAGGGAAGTCAAAGAGCAAATTCTTGTCCCGTGCTGACACTCATCCAAATCAAACTGCAAGATTCTGTTTACCAGTGAGAAAAATGAAGGAGGGAATGAAACAGCATGAAAAATCCAGCACTTATTCTGCCTGCAAATAGGTCCTATTGCAGCTCTCTCTACAAAGTCGCACTCGGAGTCAAACTGGAATCACCACAGGCTCCACGAGGAAGGTAAACGGTGGCTGCAGGTTAAACACATCAGCAAGGATTCGTTTTGATCGAGCTAACTTACTACTTACGGTGTTATAAACTGAGTATGCTGACAGCACGTGGAACAGCGCCTGTTGCCTAGGGACAAAGGAGGACATGAAAACACCTAAGTGAGAAGTCTGAGGCTTTGTGTGCACACACACACACACATATGCACAGAGCAAAAGCTTTAAAAACAACCAAACTTACATCTTCTATGAGTTCCCCATGGGAAGAACTTTGCACAAACAAGCACCCATCTGCAAGCACCTCTGCAGGCAGCTGGGATGGGCCTGCTTCCTTCCACGGAGCTGCACCTGGAGCTCCACGCAGCGGGGCTGACCGAGGCTGCTGCATCAGCACATGGCCCAGGAAGGAGACGTGCACATCCCCACAGGCGCAGGCGCCCACACGTTCCTTTTTCAACACACCTGCTCTTCAGGTTTGCCTTGGTGGAGATTTTGTTGTCTTTTACAGACTTGGGGCAGCCCAGATACTAAGTGTTATAAATCCCAGGGGTAAAATTCTGTCACCATTACTTATTAAGTTTCTCCTTTCTCCCTTCACACCTTGCTAAAGGAATTATGATTGCATGTATGATAACATATGATAAACATGATACAGATAAGCAGTGCAGATATCCCGATGTGGCACGTTTCCGTGTCAGCATCAGCCCTAAGTGTTTAGGGAAACCATACTGCATCTCACTCTGTTTTTCCCAAACTTCTTTTAACTCATCCATTTTAGAGACCACGGAGGCTGCAGCTCGCCCAGGCTGCACAGCCTTGCCCCAGGCCCCTGCCTTCCCACACAAGCCTCCCACAGCTCCAGAACTCAGGCTGGTCCAGTTTGGACCTGCCCAAAGAGCAAGCCAAGAGAGAAATCCATGAAATCCATAACCCCAGTCCAGAGCCCTGCTGGCTCATGGCACCAGCCCAAGCCATCCCTGTGTTCCATGGTCTGCTGAGCAGCATGGGGGTGGCTCTGCTCCCCTGTGACCAGGCCTGGCCTGAGCTGGGCAGCAGGAGGTCGTTGTGCTCAGATGGCTTGTACCGATCTGGTTCACACGTGGCTGCTGGCCAAAGGATGCACAGCCCAAACACGCGCGCCCAGAGCAGGCCGAAGCCTCGCGCACCACACTCACTTCACACCGTAGCGATCCCGAAACATGATGTGGTTCCGGAAGGTGCGGTTAACGTCCAAATCGATCTGCCTGATTTCCGATGAAAAGCTCTTTGCTTGTTCCTTCATTTTCTGGAGGGGAGAGAGGGGACAAAAGGAAAGGGTCAGACATTCGTCCTCCAAGCCTACGTCTGGCCACACGAACCCCTTGGAAGCAAATGCCTCTTCTTGCAGCAGGGCGAGTCGGAGCCTTTCAGCCTGCGGTGGCTGCCGCGTGCGCCCAGGCATTCGGACACTGCCGCTCTGCGGAGAGCAGGCAGCACTCTGGGAGGGACCTGCCTCCCCCTCGGCCCCTCTGCTCTGTGTGTTGCCATAACGCACAGCCTTGGGCTTGGACCAGGCACACACTAGACCAGGCACAGGCTTTCTACTAAAGACTTAAAGGAAATCTACAGCCAGAGACGAGCCCAGAGCCCCGGGAGGGAGGCTGGCAGCGGAGGTCCCACGCGAGACCCCCTCGGCGCTGCCGCACAGCGCCCGCGCCTCCCCACCCCCATTTCGGCTCCTTGCAGCGCTCTCGGCCGTGGCTGCGGAGCAGGAACCGCAGGAAGGTGCGCCGCTCCTGCAGCCCAGCCGCTCCGCGTGCAGGGCTTGGTGCCCTCACGAGGCCAGGCTGGCAAGCGTGAGGGGAGGGCGAGCTAACCGCAGGTGGCAGGAGGCACCAAAGAGGAGCAGGATTAGGCAGAGCTTTCAGGGATTTGAGCCCAGAAAAGCTCTGAAGCTCCCGTTTCTTGGAGCCCCCTGGGAGCTCTGACAAGCTGCTTGTGGCAGGCGCTTCTTGCAACACTCCCTGCTGCACGGCTCAGCCTTTCGGCATGCAGCAGCACCAACACCTCCCACCTGGAGATCCTGGGGAGCCCAGTTCGCTGCCATCCCCCACACTGTTTCTCCACTCACCCCCAAAGCCCTGCCCCGTCCCCCTCCCCTGTGCTGGCATAGG